TGATGTTCCTATCCCTCTCCTTTCCTCTCTCTGAAATCAATAAAGATATATTTAAAAAAAAAAAAAAAAAAAGAATAAAAGTCCCTAGGCAATTCTGATCATCAGTAGTTTCTTCTTTGACTCAGTTTAGGCCTCACCTCCTCCTGGAAGTCTTCCTTAATCTGCCTAGCTGAGTTAGGGCCCTTTCCCCTACAGTGCTCTGCTTCCCCCTCAGACCACCTCTTACCCTCTATTTTAATGTTTTTGTTTCCCTCACCAGACATGGCAGGGGCCATGATGGAGTTAACTATTCTAGTTACTGTTTCCCAAATACTCCTTACATTTTCAAACCACCCCTACAGTTTTACTCAGGCAAATAGTTCCTCCTTCCTGGGGTTACCCATTTTCAGTCAGGATAATTCCCAATTCATCCTGCAAGGCACAGCTCAAATGGCTACTCTATGTGAGCCTACCCCCCTGACCCTGGAAGGCTGCACCTCCCCTTCCCCTGGGACCCCTGGTCACAGCACCAACAGCACTGCACTGCAGGGTCTGTCTGCTCAGCCTCTCCAGCCCCAGCTTGGGAGCCCTTCAAAGCAAGGACCAAATCTTTTCATCTTTCTCTTCCCCTGTGGCTCCCACCATCCCTCCCAGGGAATGACTCCCACCCCTAGCAGGCTGGCCTTGGGGCACCAAAGCTGCATCACCCCAGACAGCCCTTCATGGGCTGCATGAGCCGTAACATCCCCAAGGCTAACACCCTCAATTTTCCCCACCTCACCCCAGGCCCACTCCACCTGGTCAGTGGCTACACTGGCTCCCAGGCCGGTCAAACAGTCACTGCCCAGCCCAAAGGCCACTACCAACTATCCTCATGCCTTCCTAAGTCGTGGAAATCTAGACCTGGGCTCATGCTCCCTTCTGAACCTCTCTGCTATCCATCTCCATGGGCTTGCTTTAACCCACCCTATCCTACCTAACCAGTTGCCTCATGTCCTTCTCCACTCTCTTCTCCAGTCCGAGAGTTCCTCTCAGACTCTCCTAACATGAAATAACTATGCTGATGGAAGGCCGCTGCCCAAGCAACCTGACGCCTGATATCTGAAGGCCCCCACCACAAACACACTGCACTCCCCACCTGCCTCCTTCCAGACATTCACCTTCACTTGGCACTTGGTGTGTGGGGTGGGGGTGGGGATGCGGTTAACCCCAGAAATCTTTTCTTCTGATTGGACCTTGTCTTCTCCATAAGGTGGGGTAAGGGGTAAGGGGTGACTGAAAACAATCTTGTTTCTCCACCTTCAGACCAGGAGCTCCTGGAGATAGAGCTATCTCCTCCATTAGGCACAAGGCCCTAGAAACCTGGTCTGTCTCCCTTGATCCTGTGCCCAGCCTGGGCTCTGTGTGGGGAGGTATTTTTTTTTTTTTAATTTTTTTTATTGATTTTAGAGAGGGAGAAAGGAAGCGGGGGGAGAGAAACACTGATCCACTACTCCACCCATTCATGCACCCACTGGCTGACGCCTACACGTGCCCTGACCAGGGATCGAACCCGCAACACTGGTGCATTGGGGTGATGTTCCAACTGAGCTACCCAGCCAGGGCCCCCCACTCACCTTTCAGTGTTGCCTTCTTTAGTACCTTCATGGCATACAGGTGCCCACTATCAGGCCGGGTGACCTTCCGCACCAGGAAGACCTGAGAAGGCAGTTGGGGAAAAAGCAGAAGCTGGGGAGGGGGCTGAGTCCGTTAGCTCCCATCTTCCAGGTCCCAGGCTGACCTCTAACTTCCCTGAGCCCCATGTTGACCTTTTGCCCTCCCTGGGTACTAAGGTGACCTCTCATCCTCCCCTCAGACCCATCCACCCTTTCCCTCTGATCCTTAAAGCCCTACGGTGAGCTCTCACCCCCACCTCTCACATGACCAGTGCTGCCCTCCCAGGTGTGGGCTCAGGACTCACTTTTCCAAAGGATCCCTGGCCCAGAACCTTGAGCAGCTCAAAATGGGATGGGTCGGCCTTCTCAGAGCCAGCCTTGACATGGTGCGTGATGGAGATCTCCTTGAGGACGCCCTCATCCTGATGGAAAGATAGAGCTGATGGGCACAGGAGCCCCATCTGGGCCAGCATAGGGCATGTCCCCCCTTCCAAGTCCACTCCCACCAGACCTCATCAGACAGGGCCCTGCAGGCCCAACCAGACAACTGCACTGACGGGACCTGCCTCCAGGTTCATCAATACCACAGGGCTTCAAAGGCCGGGGAGGGTCAAACTATCAAAGTGCCAGTGAGGTGAGGCACTGCTCCTATTGCTTCTGACACTCTGGCCTGCTTGGGCCCAAAAGGATGCTCAGGCATGGCCAGGCTGAGCCAACCCCAGGCTCTGGCTGAGGCCCAGAGACCTGCCTCAGGTCCTCCCCTCCCCCTGCTATAAAGGTTTTGGTTTTGCCACAATAGGAAGTAGTGTTTGTTCTTATATTGTGTTGGCAGAGCTGGATTTTTGTTCCTAGAAGGGATGGATCACAGGATCTGTCTGACCAGAAGGACAGGGCTGAGATGCATAGGGAGTCACCAGAGACTCCCTGACCAACCCAGTAAGTGCCAGTTTGGGGTAGGCAGGAGCTAAGGCCAGAGACTCCATGCCCCACCCTCCAAAAGTTCCTTTATACAAATCTACTAGAAACCCCTCGCCAGGTTGTAGTTGTTTTAGGACCCCTCTGCCCTCCCTCCAATCTCTTGGTGTAACCCTGGAGCCCTGAAGTGCCTCCTCACTTCCCCAGGAAGCAAGCCTGGACAGAGTCCAGTCACCCAGCAAGGCCAGGCCTAGGCTAGGGTAGCCCAACTGAGGCCAAACTGGTTGCCCAGGCACCTGCTCCAAGGGCCACAGCCAGGCCAACTCATCCGGGCACACTCACCGAGTCCCGCCTTGGGCCAGAGCCAGGGCCAGGGGCAGGCAAAGAGGTCTGGCTGATCCTGGGCCGCTGCTTCCTGGGCAGCCAGGGGAGCAGGGCCCAGAGCCGCAGACGGGGCGGCTTTGGATCCTGCTCCATCCGCCCAGCAGGGCCAAGGCACCATGGCAGGAGCAGGCAGCCTCCAGTGCTGCCTCGGAGGTGGTCAGGCCCAAGGCGGATGTGCAGGGTGAGGGCGGGGGCTGGGCCCAGGCCGCCAATCACTCAGGGCCTGTGGTTTCCTAGTTCCAGGCCTACACCCTCACCACGCTCCCTTCCTCTCTCTCCCCCCCTCCCCACTGCCTGAGGGCTGCCCTCTGGCCCTCCACCCCCATCCTCCCTGTGGGCCTACAAAGGGAAAGTCCCATGCCAACCCAACTGCTGAGGAGCAGATAGGTACCCAACAGGCAGAGACAGGCACCTAACATGTAGAAGCAGATAAAGGACACCCAACAGGCAGAGGCAGGCACCCAACATGTAGAGGCAGATAAAGAGGGATATCCAACAGGCAGAGGCAGGCACCCAACATGTAGAGGCAGAGAAAGAGGGGCACCCAACAAGCAGAGACAGGCACCTAATAGGTGAAGACTGATGAATATGGGCATCCAACAGGCAGAGGCCAGAGGGTACACATGCTCAACAGGCAGGGATGGATAGGGACCGGACTTGATAAGCAGAGGTAGGAAGAACACATATCCAACAAGCAGAGGCAGGAGGGGACTCACACCTAACAGGCAGAGGTAGACAGAGACTCCTACCTTATAGGCAGAGGCAGGTGGAGACACAACCAACAGGCAAAGATAGATGGGGACACAAATCTAACAGGCAGAGACAGATGGGAATCCAACAGGCAGAGACAGATGGGGACTTACATCCAACAGGTAGAGACAGATGGGGACACATACTCAACAGGTAGAAACAGAAGGGGACATGAACCAACGGACATCTAACACGTGACATGTACCCAACAGGTAAAGACAGACCCCTCACCAAGCAGTGACAGAGACAGGAGCCCAACAACAGGGGCAGGTGGGCAGCAGACAGAGACAGCCAGTCAGCAAGGCCCAAGTAGATGGACAAGGAACCAGGGCAGACACACAGGCAGGAAAGATACCCAGACACCCAGAAAGTCAAACCCTGGACTCAAAGGCAGAGCTGTGGTTCTTGCTGGTCTGCCTGGGGGAGAGGATATCCCCTGCAAACCCCTAGCACTTGAGAGAACAGTTCAGTATTTGTGGCAGACCCATCTCTGATGTCCTCCATTTCTGAGGGAGGGGCAAAGGACTAAGACAGTAGGCCGAGAGGAACATCTGAGTACAATCTGATGACTCTGACACTGATCCAAATATCCCAAAAGCTATTATGCCCACTTAGGAACAGGAAACTGAGGCCCAGAGGACAGTGACTCACCCAGGCTCAAACTAAAGTGGTGACAGAACCCAAGTCATTCCCCTGGTTATTGCTGGGCCTGCGGTTGGCAAGACTCAAGTGCCAGGAAAGGGTGGGTAAGTAAGTCACCCAGAGCCATGTCCTCTCACTCAAGCCTGCCCCCTCCCTCAGTACTAGGGTCAGTCCAGGAACTTCCTATTCTTGACCCTCAGAGACACAGCCTCATCTTCAGGGTACCCTGAACAGCCACAAAAAGCTGCAAGCTAGTCAGGCCCACTGGTAACCCTGGATGGGACAAGCAGAAAGCCGCTCAGCAACCCCAGCCCACCCTACCCTGAGGTCAGCCTCCACCTGTCTGTCTGTGACTGAGAACACTCCCTGAAGGCAGAGGCGGTCAACCGGAAACCCTAGGGGACAGAGCTACTCCCAAACCCATTTCTTGCCCAGAGCTATGGTGAAAGATAATGCTGGAGGCAGGCCAACCCTCTGCTCACCTTTCTGGGATAGGAGACTGAGTCTCTCTCAACTCTGGGGGAATCTGCCGAGGTCTGCATGGTAGGGCTTGAGCCGGTGGCCAGAGGGCCCCATTACTCCCCTTACTTCTGCTTTTGTAGCCTTCCCAGCCCACAAGGCAGGGTCCCTGACCCCCTCCTTCTCACTTCCCCTCCGCAGGGAGGAGGGACAGAAGATGGGTCAGGCTTCCTTGCTGAGGAGGGAACACTGTAGACCCCAAACCCATGACTAAGGGGAGGGGGGACAGGGATGCACCCCGCCTTGTCTCCTCTAATTCCCTCATCACCTGAAGGAAGAGTCACAGGTGATCTGGCACTGACACAGTGGGCGTCAGCACCTACAAACATTCCTTGAGAGAATGAGGGGCAGAAGTAAACAAGCCACAGGCTCCGACTGCCCAGCCCAGAGCGCAGACACTCCTTTCCCAATAGTGACCGTTCCATGGCTAGGCCACCCAAACGGACAGCCCACAGAGCAGGCACCACCACACCCAGCCCTGCCCTGACGAGCCTGACAGCCCTGGGCCCTGGGATGGGCAAGGGGGCCGAAGGTCCTGGCAAGAACCCACAGAGGTCTGAAATGAAGAGGAGGTAGCCTGGGGCAGGGGGTGACCCAAACCAGCCCCCTTCCATGTGACCTTGCCGCATCACTCACACCAGCGTACCCACAGGAACTAACACATACACACATAAATACACACAGGCCGATGATCGGAAACCATTTCCACAGACATCCCCTATGTGGAAACACACGTCCCCGCGTACACATGGACTTCCCCTTCCAGTCCTCAAAGGGCTGCCAACAACACAGTCTGATGATGGCCTGCTGGGTTGTGAAAGATGCCTCCTTAGACTGAGGCTTCTCACTGCACCCCAGTTTCTTTAGGCAAGAGTTTGGAGGCTAGGACAGTCCTTGGCCTCCCCAACCCTCGAGTCCCTAAGAAGCAAAGAAAGATTGTCTGTGGCTAGCAGGGTACAGGAAGGGGCAACAGGAAGAAAGTCTCAGAACTGCCTTTGCTGAAGGGTATGTGCAGGGCCCATGAGGCCTCTTGGTGGCAGAAGGGGGAGGACAGGCACCAGACCACATCCCTTGGTCCCTGCCCCATTCCCCCCTACAGATACTTCCTCTTATCTACTTCCTCCCACAAGGCAGCTGGGAGAGAAGACCAAAGACCCCTGCCTGATCCCTGGTCCCTAGAGTCCTCACCCTGGGCCTCCCTCCACCAGCTACAGCCCAAGCCCACCTGCCAATCCCTGGCCCTAACGAATACCAACAGCCCCTTCCCCAGCTGGCAGCATCTGCAGGGCCTCCCAGGTGCTATCCCTCTGGTAGGACAGATGTCCCCAGACATGTCTCCCAGCATGCCTCTGGGCAGGTGAGGAGAGGCCCACAGTTTCCAGGCACCCTTGATGCGGAAGCTGGCATCAGGCACTAGGCCAGGACTGGCATGGAGTGACAATGAGAATTGTGCCTCCAATAAATTGAGCATTTATTGCATAAGACCATTCTTTCCTTCAATCGTTGCTGGTGTGGATTCTGCCAAGCCCTGTGTCTCAGTCCCATTTCAGAAATAAGGAAACTAGACTGAGAGAGAAAGTGACTTGACCAAGGCCACATGGCTAGAAAGGGGGAGAGCTAAGAGCAAAATCTGTCTGTTTCCAAAGCCTACACTCCTAAGCATTTCATTATTACCCTCCTTGCAAGGCCAGCTAGCCGGCCCCCTATCTGGACATCACCCACAGCTCCTGGACCCCTGCTCTGTCGTCATGTCAGGAGACAGACATTAGGAAGCACACAAGTTAAGGCAGATGCCGGCCTTGACCTCAGGTAACTACAAAAAATAAATACATGATAACAAAACACAACTACAGAGCTACAGTTAGGTGTTGTGGGTGCCCAGAGGTAGTAACTATCTGCCTAGGGTGAGGTCCGAGAACCTTCCAGAGACAGGGCAGTCTAGCTGGACCCTGAGGAGGAACAGGAGTTGGTCAGACAGAAAGAGAAAAAAGACACATGTAGAGAGACCCAGGTGAACAACAGGCTTGAGGCCAGGAGTGCAGGGAAGGAAGTTAAAAAATGCCCACTCACTAGCTGAGCTCTCCCAGGCAAACTCTTTCCCTATCTAACTCTCAGTTTCCTCCTCCATAAAACAGAGGTTAAAACGAGATGTTGCGCAGCCGGTGTGGCTCAGTGGTTGAGTGTCATCCCACCCACCAAGAGGTCGATGGTTCGATTCCCGGTCAGGGCACATGCCTGGTTGTGGTTGCAGGCTCAATACCCAGTAGGGGGCCTGTGGGAGGCAGCAGACCGATGTTTCTCTCTCTCTCCCTCCCCCTTCCTCTCTCTCTAAAAATCAATAAAAACATATTTTTTAAAACATACACAATCACAACATGTTTCTAGAAGCAAAATGGGCCACAGAGGCAAAGGAATATAGTAAACAGAACCTCTCCCTGGATTAGTGGGCAGTCTTACTGCTGCAGTATCTACTCTGGGCAGACAGAAGGGACAGAGCCTAGCCAGTGGGTCCTGGGTGCTGGGAGGGTGGGCTAGCCTGCCCTACCCAGGCTAAAGGAAGTTCCCCGCAACACCTGAGGCTCCCAAGGCGCCCTGAAGTCCACACAGTCACATCCTGCCTGAGCTCCAGCCAGGGGAGCAAGAGGGATCCGGGAGGGATCAGGGTTTCATAAACAGGAAGAGAGGAGGGGAGGGGGGGAGACGCTCAGCTCTCAAAATAGACCTACAGGCACTTCAAAGGGGTCTAGCTCTGCTCCGGAGATAGCCAGGGGAGGGGGCATAGGGTGCCCAGTCTACCCCCAGGAAGGAAGGGAAGGTGAATGGAACCCCAGTGTGCCTGAGGACACCAGGTGTGCTCTGGGTACTGAAAAGATCCAGGGAGCTCTCACCCTAGACTGCTGTCCACACTATGGCTGCTAAACCCCAAATCTCCCTTTCTGCTTGAAACTAATAAAATAAATAAGCACTGCCCTAGCCACTTTGGCTCAGTGGTTAAAGTGTTGGCCCACAGACTAAAGGATCTGGTTTGATTCCAGCCAAGGGCACATGTCTCGGTTGCAGGGTCAATCCCCGGCCCCGGTTGGGGTGCATACAGAAGGCAACCAATCGATGTGTCTCTCTCACATCGATGTTCCTCTCTCTCTCTCCCTTCCACTCTCTCTGAAAAGCAATGGGAAAAATATCTTCAGGTAAGGATTAAAAAATAATAATAATAAATTAATAAATAAGCATTGAACACTAACACTGTGCCTCACACTTTGTTAAATTCTTTAATTTGTATACATCCCGTGCCCTCCTCTGATTAGCCCTGAAGAATAGATTATATTCTCCTTCTACAGGAAAAGCACCTGAGCCTCACAGAAGCAAACCATTCACCCAAGGTTATGAGGCAAACAGGACAAAGGGGCAGGATTCTGAACTCAGAATGCCTGACTCCCAAGCCCCCCTCCCACCATTTCTCCAGCTAGAAGACCCACTTCTTTCTCCAGGTGCTCAAAGCCTGCCTTTTGAGGCCCAGCAAAAGGAAAGATGGCTTCATGCCCCACAGGCCACTCCAATGCTCTGCCATACATGGCAGTGACTGTCCATCTGTTCCACGCTCAGCCCTAAGCTCAGATGCCACTGGCAGGGTTCCCCAGGACATGCTCACATCATCCCACCGAAATGTGGGCACCTGGAAGGTGGTGTATTCCTCTGCCCATTATGGGGCCTGGCACAGAATGAAGTCTACATGCCCACAGTCATGTTCTTCTCCATCACAGTGCCCACCACATAGCTTTCCTGTCTCCACTTGCCCCCCCTGGGAGCGCCCCGAGGGTGGAGATGTTGATTTCATTTTGGGTTTCCCCAGTGCCACAACAGGGTGTCCTGAAAACCTGGTGAAGCAAAAGATAAATGAGCTCTCTGCCAGCTCATTCCACTGCATGAAGTGATGAGGTCCTGACCACAGGCTGAGCGCCCCCTGGTGTGTTGAGCCCAGAAGTTGGCACAGTATCCCCACTGTGAGGTTATAGAGCAACAGAGAAGATGGATGAGCAGGTTCCTAGGGATGGTGGAACTTGGGGGTCATAGGGACCCAATGTTCCTCCTCTTCAGCTATGAGTGTTCCCTGAGAGGACTGTGGGCCCTGTGGTCAAGCAAGACCTGACTCCATTGCCCACCAGCTATGTGACCTTGGGCCTCAATTTTCTCATCTGTAAAATGGGAATAGTAACAATATCTACTTCCAGGGTTGTTGTGAAAACTAAAGGGAAAGCTCCTGGTGTGGTACCAGGTGTGTGTTAAGCTCTTTCTCTTCCTTAATGTGGCATTTGAGGCTCTACCCAGCCTCATCTCCCCCACCCCAGAATTTTCTGCTGTAGAGCAGGAATCATAGGCTTGCGATCAGATGTAGGTTACCTCACTGGGTAAGCTCCTGCCCTCTCCCAACCAGCCCCTCTAGCTCTTGGGGTGAGAAGCTATCCTTACCACCAGCATCCCCAAAGCTGCAACCCCAGAACCTCATTCCAAGATATGTACATCCTGGTTTTTCATTGGGGACCTACAGGCCCTTCATTTTGTTTCTAGGCAACTAGGGGACAGCTACTTTGTGGGAGGAGATTGTGCAGAAATGGGCAGAGCAAACCAAAGGGCCCTGTCCATACCACTTACCTGGCTTCTGGTGGCCCAAGGTTGCCATAGTTGCCAACAGAAGAGAGGGTAAGAGCCTATTTCTCTCACCCAGCACTACCCCAGGCAGCTCAGCAACCTTATCTTAGGAGACTGAGTCAAGACAAACATGGGGATCAGCCCTGGGTCCATCTCAAAGGTCGAGCTTATGGCAGGTCAGGTACCCAGGCAGATTCAGGCCTGGAGGGTGTGGCCACTGGTAGGATGTGGAGCTGAGCAAGTAATTGGGCATTCATGCTACTAGTGCTGAAGTCACTGTGTACTATCTCATGTTTTTCACATCACTCCTATGAAGTAGGCACTATTATCCCCAATTTACAGATGAGGAAACTGAGACTCAGAAGGGAAAAGAGTCCTGGCCGGTGTGGCTCAATTGGTTGAGCACTGTCCCATGGTCAGAGCACATGCCCAGGTGGCGGGCTCGATACACAGTGGGGGCGCACAGAAGGCAGCTGATTGATGTTTCTCTCTCTCCCTCTCCCTTCCTCTCTCTCTAAAATAAATACTTTTTTTTTTTAAGTGGGGGAGAAAAGCTTCTGGCAAAATGGTGAGGGTAGAGTCAGGACTTGAACCCAGGTCTGTTTTACCCACCCTGTGCCCTGCCTAGGTGGCTTCCAAAGCCTCTCCATAGCCAGCAGCTCTGTGAGCTTGCACAATTGGGTGTGGGAAGAACCCAGGGGAAGCAGAGACAGCAGGGGTGAGGGAACAGCCTCATGCTGGGAGCTGGGAGCCCTGAGAAATGGCCTGTGTGCCCACCAGGTCCCCTCTAGCATTACATGCCCAGATGATTCCAGGTCCTTGTCAGGCCCAGCTGACTGAGCCTCTCCCATCACTCCTTTAGCCCCCTCCTTACAGCCAGCCCAGATGCCAAGAGTAAATGAACTAAGGAAGAGTCCTAGCCTGGGTGATGGATAACCAGAGTTCTAGCATGGATTCTGCCTCTGACACTGTCTGGGACACAGTCCCCTCACCTAAGAAACAGGAAGGTTGGAGCAAGTGATCTCCATACACAGGGTTGCCTTGAAGATTAGCTGGGACCCGAGAAGAAAGGCTGAGCTGGGAAAGTGGGGAGAAGCCAGGATCCTCACACCCAGGTGGAGTGAAGACAGGCCTCCCTCCCCCTCCATGGCCATGCAAACAGTGCCCTCCTCACAGTTCCTAGCCCAGGTGCTATCCCTGGCCCTCACCTTGGATAGCTGAAGTCCAGCTTCTTCCCCTGAGGCCTGTCCATTCTGGAAAAGAGAAGAGAGATTAGAGAACTAAGATTAGAAAGACTGTCAGAGTTTACCAGTGTGGGACAGAGCAAAGATAGACCCCTTGGGGCACCCCATCCTCAGCTGCTTCCAATAGCTAGGGAAGGCACAGAGGCAGGGCTGGAGTTCTGAATGGGTCTCCCAACTCCACTTGCATGGTAAGAGTGCAGGTAGCAAGCCAGGAAGTGCATTTCCCGAAACCTTCCCTCAGCTCTCTGACTGGCAAACATCTATCTTTGAAGACTCAGCTCAAATGTCATCTCCTCTCAATGAGAAGGAAAGGGTATGTGTGGCTCCCAGCTCTGCCCGAGACAAACTGTGTGACTTTGTGCCAATTAATCAACTGCAAGCAACCTCAGTTTCCTGATCTGTAACATGGGGGTAGTTACAGCCACATCCCAGAGGTGCTGCAAGGGTAGAAGGAAACAAAGTCTGTGAAAGTCTCCAGCCCAGAGATGGTGGCTACCCTGGCCTTACCCACTCTGGGACCCCTGCCCTGCCAGGCAGAATTGCTGCTGGCCCACTATGCCCCTACATTCCTTCACTTTTCACATTGCAGGGACTATTTACACACAGGCCTGCCCTCCTGAATAAAGGGGAGTCCCAGGAGGGCAGAGATTAGGGCTCCGTGCTAACAGCTGCTCTCTTCCGAGCCCCTGCCACATGCCAGGCACTGGGCTCAGTGCCTCACACCTGTGGCATCATTAAATCCTCATGACCTGGGAGGGAGGCCCTAGCCCCATTTGGCAGAGGAAAAAACTGAGGTTGAGGGGCCTAGTAATGACAACTAAGGTCACACAACTGGTAAGTGGAGATTAAAATTCTGGTCTCTGACATCCAGAAGATGCTCAAAAAAGGTCTGTTACAGAGCAGGCCATACCCCAGGCAAGGGAACTACCTGCAGAGGGGTGGATACTGGAGCCCATCTCTGGGCATTCCTGCTTTTTCCAGTCCCCAGACTTCACACTCAGGTGGGCATTATTCACCCTAGGGTATACCAAACCCAGCCCACCCCTTTCCTGTGTGATACGAGATGATTAACTTACCTTATATTGGACTTGGGGTGCTAAAAGGAGCTGTCCCCACCCCTCCTCACACAGCAAGAGTGTGGTGAGGCAGACAGAGGCTCCCAACAGTGACAAAGACCCAGCCTAGGGCAGATCAGGACTTTGGATCCAGCGGCTGGGTCCACAGGGCAGCTGTGGCTTTACTTGGCAGCAGCAGGCACAGCTGTGTTCTACCCATTACATAATCTCCCTACCCCTAGAACAGCTTCCCCTGATGCTTCCAGGACATCCTGCCCCCTGAGCCCCTTTAATGCCCCTAATCTTCCCCAGGGCTGGTGTTCTGCAGGCGCGTCCACACACACATACACGCTGTCATCTCTCAGCAGCCGGGGAGAAGGGCCAGGTTGATCAGGGCCCAGGGGAGGCAGGATGCATTTGTAGCTTGAGCTCCACTTCACCCAGGGGTCTAGACTCTTGATAGAATTCCCACAGATGGTCTCATCAGCCTACTCATCAGTCCCCCTGCCCCAGTCTTCCCCCATTCAAACCTTCCTCCTTCCTTAAACTCAACTATGATTGTTGCACTTGAGCCATTACCTTCCTTGGTCATTCACTCCCTACTTTTAAAAATATATATGTCTTTATTGATTTCATAGAGAGGAAGGGAGAGGAAGAGAGAGAGATAGAAACATCAATGATGAGAGAGTTATTGATCAGCTGCCTCCTGCATGCCCCTGACTGGGGATCGAGCCCGCAACCCGGGCATGTGCCCTGACCGGGAATCAAACCATGATCTTCTGGATCTTAGGTTGATGCTCAACCGCTGAGCCACACCAGCTGGGCACTCACTACTTATTGAGAACTTGCTATGTATCAGGTCCCAAATCCTTTCATGGCTTCCCACTGCCCGCAGAATACAGTCCCAGCTCCTTGGCCTGGCATTCAAGGCCATCATTTCCAACTACCCAACACAAGTGATTAAGAACGTGGGTTCTGGAACCTAACTTTGTGGGTTCAAATTCTGGCTTCCATACCACCTGCATGACCCTGAGGTTACCTCATTTCACAGGGCTTCAGTCCTCATCTGTGAAATGGAGGTAAAAGTAATGTAACTCAGCAGGTGGCTATAAGAAGCAAACAAAATAGTCTATAAATATATACACCTGGCAGGCATGTACTGGGTCCATTATTATCATTGGGCCCTATTCTGAATCTAAACTAAACAACCTGAGAGCCTGAAGAACCCAGCTTATTTCATATCCCTAAGTATTTGCATGATGGCTTGCTCCTTCTACCAAGAAAACCCTTCCTGCCTTGTCACTTTGGCAAACTTCATTTCAAATGTCATCTCTCTGTCCACACAGCCTCAAGTCCTTTCCTCCCTCTTCTGTGCGCATAGCACTGAGGAAGCCGCAGGTTAACTCAGGAAGGAGCCCTGGCTAGTCTGTCATCATATCCTTAGCACCAGCTCAAGATCCAGAATGTAGTGTGTCAAATAAAAGCTCAACCCAGTCCCCGGCTGGGCGTGGCTCAGCAGTTGAGCATCAACCTAGGATCCAGGAGATGGCGGTTCGATTCCCAGTCGGGGCACATGCCTGGGTTGCAGGCTCAATCCCCAGTTGGGGGCATGTGGGGGCAGCCATAACCCCAAATCACTTAGTTGCAAGCCTAAATCCCAAATGAGGGAGCGGAGGAAGTAGTAGGGTGTACCCAGAGGTGTGGGCTTACTGAGAGCAGTGACCTGGATGATTCAGGGGACCTCACAGGCCCAGGCCCTGTTTGGCTGCCTCCAGTCCCAGGGTCTCTGGCCTGAGTGCCATCCTCATGGAACCCCACGCCTGTAAGAGCTGATGCATAAAGTCTCTAGAGGGGAATGGCAGCCCTGGAGAAAAGACTGGGAGTACAAAAAGGACCACAGGCGAGCTTCCCCCTCAAAGTCAGGGTCCACATAGGGAAAACAGAATTCATTTGTCCTTCTGACCTGACTGCTGCATGGATGGCGGAAAGAACAGAGCTCTGCAGCCACGAAGACACAGCTGCTAATCCTAGCTCTGCCAGCCATTCACTCCGACCTTGGGTCTGTCACATCATTTCTCTGGGTCACAGTTTTCTCATCTATACCATGAAAGCAGGTCTGTCCTATACACAGCTATATCCTGTTGCTTGGAATAGTACTTGTCACAATAGTACTTGTCATGGTAAGTGCTCAACAAATATTTGCTAAATGAATGAATGAATGGAAGGGGACAATGATGCTGACCTTGCAGAATACTGAATGAAGGACCTTGTCTAAAAAGTCTGGTACAGCTGCCCTGGCTGGGTGGCTCAGCTAGTTGGAGCATTGTCCATATACCAAGAGGTTGCGGGTTTGATTCCCAATCAGGGCACATAGCTAGGTTATGGGTTCGATCCCTGGTTGGGATGCATACAGGGTACAGGGGGAGCAGCCGATCAACGTTTCTCTCTCTCTCTCAAATCAGTAATTTTTTTTTTATTATTCTGGGGTGAGAATTAAAAAAAAAGCCTGGTACAGGAAGGGCCCTTTGGCCTCTTAAGAGGACAGAGACCCACTCTCCTCTCTGTTTCTCAAAGAACACTGTTCATGGGGACAGTTGCCCAGGGCCCCCAACCATTGTGCCCCTTCCCCAGAAGTCAGAGATAGGTTCCAACAGGCATCCTTCCTTCCCACCCAAGCAGCTCTGTTTTGGGAAGAGGGGCCCAGGGCAGCATATAGAGAATCCAGGCAGCAGATGGACAAAGACAGCATGTGCCCCGCAGGCAGGAAGCAGCCCCAGGAGCTGGGTTCAGAGCCCAGCACTGGCAGCCCTGCAGGATGCTGGAGGCTGGGGGCCAGGTGCCAGGACTGGCTGGCACAACCCTTCCTCAGCAAAGGCTGGACAGGGGCCCTTCGGGACGAGGAGAGTCTGCCAACATCCGGAGCCTCTCTCGGAGAACCTTCCACCTGGGCCAGTTTGATCCCAACCCTTCCCCATCCTTCAGCCTCCCCCTTGAGAGTCTTGGGTTCCAATACTAACTCTGATATTAATTCATAGGCCAGTTCTCTCAGACTTCAATTATCTCATATGAAAATGGGGGTAATAATCCCTACCTTGAGAAGTTATTATGAAAATTATTTAAATAAAGTGACACAGATGAAGAAGGGTGTGTGGCACACAGTAAAGCTCTGTACATGGCACAGCTGGGCCTGGGGACAAGGTTACTTCTTTCAGCAAGGCCAGGGAAAGCCCAGGAAGAATCCTCACCCACACTTCCAATAAGTTTGCTCCACCTGGGCCACACCCTAAGCCAGGCCTTGCCTCCCAGCAGCCCATTTTCAGCAGCGTCATGGGGAGGGCAGGGCAGTCCAGAACCCAGGCAACTGCCAAATGTCCCCCACCAGCCCCTTGTCTGCCTTCTTCCCGGCTAAGAGCCAGAGGCAGTGCCTATACCTGCAGGTCAGTCTGCTGTATCGCTTACATGTCACCTGGGCTAAGAACAGCGAGGCCCTGTTCTCCAGTGAGAACAGCCCAACCCATGCCCTGGCTGCCCCATGGCTCCTGTTACCCAAACAATAACACCCAGTTGCCTGGCACCTCCATGGAGTGGGGGAGGGGGAGAATGGGCAGCAGTACCCAGGGTTCTGCACCCTCTCAGGCCCAGGAAGCAGGAGCTAGAACCCAACTTTGGCCACAAAAGAAACAAAGGTCCAGAGAAGCTAAGAAATGACTAAGGGTCACACAGCATTTCCAAGGTAAAGCTCCTGGAGAAATCATGCTCCCCCCCAATCCTAGGAACTAAGCCAGTCGTCTCACAGAGTTCAAGTGCAGTACTACTCAAAACTAAGTTGAGTTTCCTATTTAAGCCTGGCCCCTGATTAAGCTGGCCCCTGCTCCAGGACTCCCTAACAGCAAGCAGGAAGTTCGTGCCCTGGACTGGGAATGAGGCTCCTAGGTGTCTGCCGTACCTATCTCCAAGTTAAGTCCTAGGGTTAAGTTCCTCCCTGGCTTCTCCCAATCTACCTACCTCTAGAGAGGCCTAGGTTGTAGGGGCTTGCCAAAGGCAAAGGAATCCACCTCAGGGCGCCCTCTGTAGGCCCTAGTGGCCCAGTCCTGGGGGCAGGGAGGAGAGGGGGATACGGGATGCAGAGAGCAGCAAAAGGTGAGTCAGAGAGAGAGAACCTCCAAGAGCATGCAGGGCCTGTATAAACCCCATGGCAGTGATCCCAGAGCAATTTACTCCAA